ATTTGTCTTCCTTATACCTGGATTAATATTATCTATTAGTTGTTTAAAATCTATTTTTTGCTTTGTAATCTTATCATCTAAATTAGATATTAATGAACTTAACTTTTGTAACTGAGTTTTATCCACTACATTGACTAATTGTTGTTGAATAGAGACTATTTATTTTTGTATTTCACTATCATCACTAAGTTTACTTTCTAATGCGGTCTTCAATTATACCTGGATTAATATTGGCTATTAGTTGTTTAAGATCTATTTTTTGCTTTGTAATCTTATCATCTAAATTAAATATTAATAAAATTAAAGTTTGTAACTGAGTTTTATCTACTACATTGACTAATTGTTGTTGAATAAAATTTTTTAAACTTGTTACTTCTTGTTGTAATTTAGTATCATCAATATAATCTAATTCTTTCAGTTTACTTTCATCAATAAAATTTTTATTATTTATTTGTCGTTTGAAGAATCTTTTCACATCCTTTGTCCTTTCTTTTAAATAGTCTTTATCTACTTCAATTAAATTTAATTGCTCCATTAAATATTTCTTGTGAACAGCATCATTGTCATTTTCTGGTAACTTTAAATTAGTTATGGACAAATTATTCATATCAATATCACCTTGTAATGAATCTCCAATTTGATCTACAAAGAAAGGTTTTGCTTTATTTATCCACGATGTAGTGTTGGGGTTTTTAGTTTGTAATGGTAAAGAGCCTAATCCAAACTCGTTTGCCATTTTTATTTAGTTAAATTCATTATAATGTCTTCAAACTGGTTTCCTAAACTTAACTGATATAAAGTGAAAGTTGCCCACAAAACTTTTGACCCGGCATTTGTATTTGGAATGTAGAACATTAAATTTGTTGATTAGTTGGTTCTAATCCAAAAGCAGAACAAAAATAAAAGTTATTTAAAGAGTCGTTGTATAAAGCAGAGTGATGAACTCCGGTTTGATTTGAAGTATGAATATTTGTTATAGCATAAAATTTGCCTTTTTTATTCTTGAGATTATTTATTTCATCTCTCATACAATAATAAAACGGTGATATATTTAACTTATTTGCCCATCTCATAAGTTGAAAGTTTGTGGTTGTATCAGTTCCATATCTATCAAAAAAACTATTCATTTTTAAAAGTCAGTTTTTTGAAGATCGTTTTGATAAAACCTACCTATGATTTGTTCTTTGTCTTGATCGATTAATTCATATGTTGGAGGTGATGTACTATTTACTTTATCTACGATGAATATTTCGTTTGTCCAATAACCAACATAGCCCTTCTCGAATTAACTTTTATATTTGAAAATACGAACGCGACCTCCGACTTGAAATTTGGATTTAATATCTAAATTGTTTATCTCATTTTCATAGTTATTTTGTGTGTTAATTGACTTTATTATATTTGGATTGTTTGAGACTTGTGTTGGTGTGACACCTATAGATGAATCTATTTTGTTATTGTATTCATCTACGACATCTGGTAAAATTTTAAGCCATTTTTGAGATTTTAATCCCGTGAACCTTTTTGAATAATTTATTTTTTAGAGTTCTATTATATCTCTCAATAACTACAGCCTTACCTTCGTTATGCGTGCTGTACATTTCGAACCCCAGAGATTTCATATTTTTGTTATAAAATTCACTCCCTTTATCTACCCATAACTTTTGGGGTCGTCTGTCAGATTGTTTCATTAAGGTTTCAAATGAGTGTTTGACAGATATTCCTGTTTTGTTTTTGAGAGCATGACGAGTATATAAATCTATAACTGTTAAACAATATTTATAACCCCTTTCAACTAGCATATTAATTAAATCGGCTGACCATATTTCATCTTTATCAAATACTTTAACTTTTAAATAATATTTGTTTTTTCTAAATTCTTTATGAATTTCATCTGCCAATCCCATGCCCAATTTCATCTTTGCTTTTAACAGTTGTATGATCAGCGCTCTTTGCATTTTCTCTTTGAATGTTGGATTTGGAATATATTCTAATTCGTGAATCATTTGTTTGTCTGCTTCATGTCTAAACTTTATGTCTTTATTTCTGTATAAAATATCATGTTTAAGGGCAGCAACGTCAACTCTATTGACAGGCTCTTCTCCTGGTTTGGGTTTATCGTTTTCGTCTAAGCGTAGATCTAACCTTGTGCCTGGACCAGTATAATTATGTTTTTCACCGGAGTATTTGGCCCATGGAAATCCTGGAAGATATCCTAATGATTTTTGAATGTCGAACTAAAATAAGTTTTAGGACTTTGAGCAATTAACATTAACATTTTTATCCGATAATTTTAAAACCTTTTCCTTTTTTTTCTTGTTGTTCTATTCTCCTGTTTCGTAGTTCTCTTATTTGCATTAATTCTTTCAATTCATCAGACTTTTTCACAGTATCGTTTATTCTAATTCCTGCTTTTGCAACTGAACCAAGAGCTTGCGTACCAGAAGAAATAAGGGATTTGTTGTTTGAAACAAAGCTAGCTACTTTGGGAACGAGGGAAGTTAGTGCTGAGATGAAACGTCTCCTGAATAATCTTCAGTGGTTTCGAATTTTTGTTGTTCGTGTTCTAAAATTAAACTCATCCTATTTTTAAATGAGTTAATTTAATGATGAAATTGTGGACTTTTTTTTCTATAGAAAGAGCTCCCCCCCCCCTAACCCTTACCCCCCCCCCCCCCAAGTCTTATTCAACAAAATATTTTCCTTGATTTAACATATATGGGGGGGGGGGGGGGGGGGGGGCCCCCCCTTTTTGTTAAAAAAAATTTTTTTGGGCGGAAAAATTTTAAAAAAAATTCCCCCCCCTTAATTTAATTGGGGTAATTTAAAAAAACCCAA